TTCCTTATTCTCATGGATACGTGGTGTATTATGATTGGTGGGGAAATTTCCCTCCGCGCACTTGCTTTACCAACTCTTACTTTCCCTACCACCAGATTATTTCAACATATACTAAACCAGTTTGCCACCAAGGTTGGGATGATAGGAAATAAGAATAATGGCAGAAGAGTGCCTTCGTCTTCAACTAGGATAATTCCAAGTTTCTAAACCTCTTCTTCAATTCTCAACATTGCATATTAAAGTTTTACACCAGAAAGTTAGACCATTTGGTGTCGTTACTATTATTTTCTTTTTCAAGTAGTAAAACAATACTTTAAAAACATTGAATTTAAATTATGGCTGGAAATTTGCAAGAAAGAACACTAATTTTATGATAAAACACATACGAGTTGAGAAATTAGATATAATGAGGTACCTTCAATAGGCACAAAGTCGTACTTTGATTATTAACTTTATCTCTTTTAGTTGCTCCTATCATCCACCGTAAAATCCATATTTTCACTACACTCCTATTGTTGTTTTTTCATTTTGATTTTTTGTTTTCAAAAAGTACAGTGCACGAGACTCTCACGATTGAGAGGTCTAGGGAGGATATACAATTTTATCTTTGTATTCGGAGAGTCTATTTCCTTAATTAAAACTCACGACCTTCCAATACCTTACCGTTACTCTCTAATTAAAAATAAATTAATAAATTAAATAAATAAAAGGAAAATCTTAGCCAAGCACATGAGTGGCCTAGGTATGTCTTGGCCCAACAACTATTAGGAGTGGGGTACATACATGAGACACCAAACACATTCACCAGACATTACTCTAATATATCATAACACTTGCAAGTACGCCTATAACCCGAGATCTCCCCCAAGTACTGAAAAATCAGACTAGTCAGGGCATTGAGGGCAAGTACTAAGCCACTCTTTCTCCAAATCTTTCTAAATGAACTCTGATTTTGAAGTATTGGGATTCGATGCGACACAGGTTTTGTACCGCATCGAACTCATAGTAGTACAAAATCATATGTGTGTTACAAGTTATCCGATATCATACAACACTTGTGTTATTCTTAAGGGTGGCAAATTGGCATGTTGGGTCAGGTTTGGATTGGGTTAAAAATGAACGGATCAATATGGGTCAATATCCATATTCAACTCGTTCAGAACGGATTAAAAATGGGCAGAGTCAACCCGCTATGACCCGTGGACCCATTCATATTTTTTATTTTTTACATATATATATATATTCATACATTCTTATCTTGACAAGGAATAACTAAGATTGGTGCATTTGTTTCATTAGTACGAGTCCAAAATATATATATCAAAATTATTGAAACCACCTATGGATGTCGTTCTAATTCTCTGGTCAAGACAAGAATTTTTAGTCCTTTGAATTGATTAACTATTAACATTACGTAAAGGTGTTTAATTGCTTAGTGTTTTCATAAACTTCACTGCTTTAATGTGTCTTTTACTTTGAATGCCGTAAAATTGGTTGGATGATACTTTTGATAAACTAATTTAAGCCCAAATAATTAAATGAAGCCGACGTCTATGCATAGACTTCAAAGCAGTGTACAAAACACAAGGACATGTTCGCGTGCGTGTGTGCATATATATATATATATATATAATATATATACATATACAAATTTTTAAACAGTGAAGTTTTTATTCATTTTCAATAAAATATTATGCAATCCTTCCATTCCTTTTTTTTTCGATCTTTTATTGGTAATTTTTAATTTAATTCAGTTGCATTAAAATAATAATTTTTATTTTTTATTTTTTATTTTTTTTAATTATTTTTTAATTATTTTTTTTTTTCATAAGGTTTTAATTTTCTTTTTTATTTTATTTTATTTTTTATTTTTATTTTTTAAATATTTTTTATTTTTAAAATTATTTTTTAATTATTTATTTTTTTTTAGAAGAAATTTCTAGAGAGAGAAACTTAGAGAAAGAGGATTGATGAGAGACAAATTTAGAGAGGGAAGATTGTGAGTGAGAATTTTAGAGAGAAATGAGTTGAGTGCAACATAAAATAGATGTGTGTGGTATGTTTATTATGTAATGGGTGAAATATGGGTTGAATATAGTTGAATATGGTTAACCATATTCAACCCATCTTGACCCTCAAATTAAATGATTAAAAATTATCCAACCCATCTTAACCCTCAATTAAATATGGTTGACCCATAACCATTAAAAGGTGGGCGGATATGGGCGGGTCGATGGTTCCTGACCCATTTTGCCACCCCTAGTTATAGTAAAGAGAATCCGTGCACAAATTTGAAACATAACCCTGAATTAGTCAAATTAAAAAAGGGCATTTAAATGTGTCGAAAGTTTTATTTCCAACCTGAAAGATTAGACCTTCTTTCACTTTCATTAATCTTGGTGTGTAATGCCTAATTATAGTGGGGAACTAAAAGACATTTAAATTTGTGAAACACTTTATTTCCAACATGAAAAGTTAGGCCTCCTTCCCTTTCTCATTAATCTTCATCTATCCCTCAAAAAAATGAAAACAGAATTAAAAATAACAATAATAATTTTTGTTGTGAATTTTGGTTCCACTAATAAAGGGTGTTGTTAGGTTGGTTTTATCAGTACCAATCTCTTATTACTTGTGTCTCCATATAAACTTGGACCTCACATTTATGGTTGTCAACATAACAAGGATAGGAATATCATTAATCTCTTACTAGTACATAGTACATAATATTTCTGGATATACATATACAAACATATAGACATTTTAGAGAGAGAGAGAGAGTAGTGGCAGTCCTTAGAGAGGGCAAAGGACCCCTAATTGACTCTGGTCCACAGCAACAATTAGGGTTGGGACACTGTACTGTTAGGGTTGGTTTTATCAGTACCAATCTCTTATTACTTGTGTCTCCATATAAACTTGGACCTCACATTTATGGTTGTCAACATAACAAGGATAGGAATATCATTAATCTCTTACTTAGTACATAGTACATAAATATTTCAGGATATACATATATAAACATATAGATATTTTAGAGAGGGAGGGAGAGAGAGAGAGGGAGGGTAGTGGCAGTCCTTACAGAGGGCACAGGACCCCTAATTGACTCTGGTCCACAGCAACAATTAGAGATGGGTAAATTTGCGGGACATACATATATAAACATATAGATATTTTGGGACACTGTACTGATACAGCAACATAACATAGACACATTAGCCAGCTAAATTTGCGGGCTTTAATGCATGCACTTCGCCCTTCAGATTTACGCTGATCGCGAAGGGTAAGGGTCATCACCCCAACCTTGATGGAATCTGAGTTGGAATCTTCATCGGTAGAGCGGAGGATCTCAACTCAATAGAATAAACCTCGTCTTTTTAATGCATTAGAGGCTTTACAGCGTTAGTGCACTGAGAATAGTAAAAACCATCACACCAACCGTGATGGAATGGAGTTGGGATCCTTCGCAGAGAGCAGAGAATCCCAACTCGATGGAATGAATTATGAACCTCATTTTTTTTAGTGCATTGCAGCGTCTAGTCTAGTCTAGTGCACTCAAAAGGATGAGGATCATCACACGAACGATGATGGAATAGATTTGAGATCCTATGTAGTACAGCATAAGATTCCAACTCGATGGAATGAACCTTAACTTTTTAAGACATTGCAGCATCTAATCTAGTGCACTCGAAAGAGGATAAGATCATCACACCAACCGTGATGGAATGAAAAAACATAGACACACTCCACAATTATTTCTAAAAAGTATTTAGCGATAATTTTGTCATTTTAATTATTTAAAATTTAAGTTGAGTGCTAATGGAAAAATGGAGTATTAATATTTCTCTTCTCATAAAGTGTGTCTCAATAATAGAGTATCACTCAATAAAAATAAATAAAAAAAAAAACACCAATCGAAAATTTTATCATGTTCTTTTAGAATGTCACAACGGAAATGAATGGAGTATATAATTTCAAACATGCATTAAAATGGAGCTATAAAATGATTTTAGCTAGCTCTGATATTTTAAAATAAAATATGGGATATCATATACATAAATCGGCATTCACTCAAGTAATATCTCTATATCTGTTATTGTGGGATGTCTTATATATTGTATATAAGGTTATATATCCATACACGTGTCCTTTACACTCTCAAGTTTTTCAATCTAGTGCTCCAACTTTCATTAAAGTGTAAATCTCTAATGATGTTGAAGGGACAAGATGGCTTGTTTTTCATATAGAGTTGAAAATGTCATTGTTTTTGAATGGATTCTTTGGGCCTTGGAAGGATTTGGAGCATGACATAACAAATACATTTCTTCCGATGCCTGCAACACTTGACGATCGATTTTTAAGGTGAGTACTGTTACAGTTGACGATCGATTTTTAAAATGGGTACCGTTACAATTGACGTTTGATTTTTTTTCACGATCGATATTTGTCCAACAAGTCTCTCCTCCCCAACCAGGGCTTTTATCATTTTCCTTAGTTTTATGACCTTGCTAAATATTCCAAGTAACATGTCTTTTGACTCATAACATCTGCAATACATTTCTTGGCTTATAAAAACATAAACGAAAAATACTTTAATGCTCCTGAAATATTTGATATAAAATACTTTAATGCTCCTGAAATATTTGATATTAGATACATGACATGACCCACTAAAAATAAATATATTTTTATTTATATGACAAAATATAATTGATCGATGACACCATTAAAATAGTATTACCAGCGTACTAAAGTCTCTCTGTACATACATTCGTCGTGTTCTAAACATCATTTGTTGTTTCAATTTCCCGGGGAAGAAAAAAAAAAAAAAAAAGAACACAATCCTCCTCACACTTCAAATTCATAACAGAAAATTCTCCCCGTTTCAATCTTGGACCACAATAAATATACAGAATTTCAAGTTCTAGATGCTGTAAACCTGACACGTTACATTTTTTCTTTATAAATATAAACAAATTAATTAAGGGGAGGAAATATAAAAGGCAAGCAATATAAACAGGACAAAATATTATTTACAATCATAGGTTTAACGTTGAATTTGGACTTCTCAACAATGATGCATCGATCTTATTTGGCATTTTGAAAAATGGATGGTAAAACACAGTTAGTACCACAAATTTCAACTTTCACCACCCCCCAACATCTGCATATAATGATTTTGTCCATGTATGTTATCATTCGCCATGGTTCTATCTTAATACAAGTAGATCCCACCACCAGCTGAGTAACCCATCTTTTTCCTCTGGCTTCTTCCACCTGGTTATAGAAAAAGAATCGTTTGAAGATGAAAATTACATGTTCGTTAAAGAAAAATATTGCAACATTAAGAAGAAAATGAAAGAATCTCGCAAAACAGATGCACATGAGAAGATCCAAAAATTATCGGGGGGTGCTCTCAAGTTTATAGGTAGTTCCAGACCAACACATTGGTTTATGTTGCACAAAATTTCAGAAAGGGAAATTGGGGGTTTAGGTTTGGGATGAAGAAAAAGGAAAACACTCTTGATAAATCAACACCAATCATGTGTTACTTTTACCAGCAAACATGATCAAGAAAAAATACATTATACATGAGAACAGGCCCGAAGAAGGCTTCTTTGTACATTGTCAAATCAGCCCGACAAAATACTGGAACACAAAAAGTGAAAAAACTCAACACAAGTTTCAGTTTTCACCAATCATTATTTTATTTTATTTTTTCCCTCCTAAAATGTATTGCTAAAAAGACCAAACAACCTTACAATAAAATTACAAAAGGCCAAGGTAAAAGTACAAAAGTCATTGAAAAGCTAATCAAGGGTCACAAAAGAACCGGCTATGAGCCACTGTGCACATGCAAAATATCATAATGTTCGGTAACATAACTGGGTATACCAATTCAGGTAGAGGTAACAGGCACCAAAGGTTCGCTAATCTGCCACGCTTCTAATAAAGAAACTAGGAGGGATGGTGGTCTTATCAAACAAGGCTCATAAAGATGAACTAATTGGGTAATATCATTTCTCAAATTTTGTACTGTATATGAATTACTACATCTCACGTTCCTTATATTTTTTGTTTAGTGTATCTTAATCCTTACAAACTTATTAAGATCGATCTCACTTTTTTAGTATACATATTCTACATGTAGGTGTTGGATATGTTTTATCTCGCATGATCCACGTCAACATCACCAGTAATGACCCACATAGTAAAAAGTCAAGTGGCCAACGAGTAAGTTATGTGGTACTTGTCACATCTTCAATAAACCTCGCAAAGCTCGAACAGAAGATTGAAAACTATTTTAATGTCATATCATTATGTCTTCCATCCTCTCATTTTTTACCTATAAAATGACATCATTTTTTTTTTTGATAAGTAAAAATGTATTAAAAAGCGACGAAGCGTTCAAAAGGGGTACGCGTCACAAGAGCTATACAAATACCGAAACCAAAAAGGGAGTCCTATGGACCCAAAAAGTCCACCACCCCTATAAAATGACATAATACCAAGGCCGAAGGGAAGAGGAAGAACCACCACCCACAAACTCTCTCTCTCTCATAACCTTCACCAAGGGAGCCAACAGTCAACCCACTCAGCCCACTCGAGATCTCTATTGTGTTGTGATTAATGTATCCCAGGCTAACCTGAATTGGTGCAAGGTGAACATATTCTATGACAAGAGTATATAATATACCAATCGGCCAAAGATAGCTAGCAATAACTAAAGAGTAATAATACAAAGTCTGTGTCCGACTAAATTTATATGAGTAAGAGATGACGTCATGATGACATCATCATATTTAATTATGTCTTCCCCTGCTCACATTAAGCAGTCGGATACATCCGACTTTTGGACTACTTATCATTATTCATAAACAAATTGTTCGCGTGAAGTTAAGTCTCCACAATTCTCTTGGAACCTAGACGTAGGGTGCAATGCAAGCCACAAGCCCGAGTTAACGAAGTCAAATGTTTTGAAAAAATTAATATATGATACACACAATGGGTAAAATGGCACACACTGTCGAAATAAATTAATGATTTTTACAGTTCTCTATTACTACTCCATGCAATTAGAATCCCTAATTTTGTGAAATTAACTTTGTATTGTTTCCTATTATTAAAGATATAATTCCCCAGTATTGATGTTGTTTCTTATTTTCTCTCTTTCCATTCTCATTATTTCTCCTCCTATTTAGAGGAGTCTCCACAATTGTTTTTTTTATAAGTAAAAAATATATTAGAAAAACGTTCAAAAGGGGAACGCGTCCCTAATACACAAAAATGAAAGAGCAAAAGCCAAACCTACGGACCAACAGAGTCCAATAGAACAAAAAAATCATCAATAGAGGAGCAAGCGCTGCCTCTAACATAACAGAAGAGAGAACGAAGAATAAGAGACTTTAGGTTTGCAAAAGACGATTCCCTTCCTTCAAACTTTATGTTATTTCTCTCTCCAAATACACCACCAAACACAGTATGCGATGACCCTCCAAAAATCACGAGTATGACCAATAACAGGGCATCTTCTCCAAGCGTTAATTAATTGGAAAGAGTGCTTAGGTATTACCCACTGAACGCAAAAAATACTGAATATGAGATTCCAACAATCAGATGCAACGGGATAATGCATAAGAAGATGGTCCACGGAGTCACCATCAGTTTTACAGAGACAGCACCAGCTAACAATGGTATTACCTCTCTTACGCAGATTATCCAATGTTAGAATTTTTCCTCAGGTAGCAGTCCAAACAAAGAAAGCGACTCTAAAAGGAGCTTTAGAGCGCCAAATACACTTCCATGGGAAATTATGTCCAATAAAATTAGACAAACACAAGAACAAGGATCGAACTTCGTATCTACCATGAAAAGAGGGGGTCCACAAAATGTCATCACAACCTCTGCCAACATCCTTCTGTTTATACAATAACTCCAAAAAGACGCAAACTTTTGCTATCTCCCAATCCTGAAAAGAACGCCTAAAACGCACATCCCACGTAACTCAACTATTATCAAGATGATAACAGTCAATTACATAAGCATGCTTATTCTCGGCAATGCAAAAGAGACTGAGGAAAGGAAAAAGACAACAACTGATCACCACACCATAAGTCTTCCCAAAATCCAACATTCATACCATTACAAACCTTGAACCGAATATGGTGAGGAGTCTCCACAATTGTATTATGTGAATGTAGTCATTTGGGCCGTGAATGTAGACCCTCGTGGCTGAACCACATAATATTTTTGTGTTCTTGTTTCATTTCTCTTCAATTAGATTTTATAATTTACAGCATAGTATCGGAGCCTAATTTCTCTCCTCCCTTGCTTCGACTAAGGTAGTCGCCTAGCATGTGCGACACTGTAGGGAGGATCTCTTCCAAGATTTGGATCCCTATTTTGGGGCATTCCCTTAGCGTTTGAAATGTGATAAGGATCTCTTGGTGCTATTTGTGACTTATATGGGTTGTCAGTGTATTCGGTAGCATTATTGTTCCCCTTCGCATTGTGATCAGTGTTATTTGTGACTTGTTTGGGCTGCCCGTGACCGGTGTGTTCGGTAGCATTGTTCTTCGCCTTCGCCGCGTGATCAGTGCTATTTGTGTCTTGTTTAAGTTGTCGGGGTGTTCAGTAGTGTTTTTCTTTGCCTTCGTCACGTCTCCGACAGTTTTTATTGTATTGCTCTTGGTTTACATTTGTGATATTTTATCATTGGTGACATCATCGTCGCCATTATCATTGGTGTTGGTATTCGTCTCGAATTTCCAGATCCCTTTTTATTGAGGTCATCTTTGTTATACCTCTTCATCATTCACACTTGTTCCTACTCATCATCTCAATAGCAGGGGGAGTATTAAAGATTTAATGGAGGAATCAGTGGAGGAAAATCCTCCACTATTTATGTTGTTTCCTGAATTGAAGATTAACTATTACTAGAGACTCATTGGAGTCCTCCAGTATTGATGATGTTTCCTATTTTCTCTCTCTTTCCATTCTCAACATTTCTTCTCCTATATAGAGGAGCCTCCATCATTGTATTGTGTATGGAAAGAAAGAATGTTATAAAAGGAATGTAGCCCTTTGGGCTCTTTGTGCATCATTGTATTGTGTTCTTGTTTCATTTCCGAAAACATTATTTAAGTTTTGAAAGCTTCCCAAATTGATAATATGAACTTTTAAACTTCAGAGATAACTTGGAAGTTTGAAAAGTGGACAGTGCATTAATGTATGTCCTCTTAAAAAGTTAAAATTCGCAAAAGTGACGACTAAAATGGAATAGGAGGAGAACCAACCTGCCAAACTATTGAACTTTTTTAAAATTGATTATAAGAAAATAAAAATGGTCATTTCCAATAAAAAGGCTCACCTACTTGTTATATATATATATATATATATATATTTGCCATTTCAAATAAAAAAGTTAGCAAGTAGGTGGTATGAACAATTTATAGCATAGATCCGTAGATGTACCAATAACAAAAGAGAGATTGCTTTACATACAAGTTAAAAGACATAGAGGCTTACCAAAGCTAACATGAGATAAAGTTACTAAAATAGATCTTAAAAGATTAAACATAATAGTATAAATGAATTGTAATAGAAAAAAAAAAAAAACAGAGAAAGAGAATTTAAGCAGCAGACATCATTCATATGGGATAAAATCAAGGAGGGATGATGACAAAGACAGATAGAAAATTTGGCACTTCCCCTTCTTAAATTTGGCACTTCCCTTTCTTAGTTTGACACTAATTCCTAGTCACCTACCCTCGTCTATATTCCATACTCAACAAGTGCTAAAGCCACCATGAACTTTTCAGTTCCACCAGATCTTCCATTTACATTTGCCAAAATAGCTTTGATACGATGAATGGTGGAAAAATGATCACTCCTAGAAACACATTTGCTTTACCAACTATTACTTTCCCTACCACCAGATTATTTCAGCATATACTAAACCAGGTTTGCCACCAGAGTTGGGATGATAAGAAATAAGAGTAATGGCAGAAGAGAGCCTTCGTCTTCAACTAGGATAATTCCGAGTTTCTAAACCTCTTCTTCAATTCTCAACATTGCATATTGAAGTTTTACACCAGAAAGTTAGACCATCTGGTGTCGTTACTATTATTTTCTTTCTCAAGTAGTAAAACAATACTTTAAAAACATTGAATTTAAATTATGGCTGGAAACTTGCAACAAAGAACACCAATTTTATGATAAAACACATAAAAGTTAAGAAATCAGATATAATGAGGTACCTTCAATAGGCACAAAGTCGTACTTTAAGGCACAAGTCCATGTCTCATCCACATCTTCAAATTGCTCCATTGTACTAGAGATGTCGCGAAGTCCCAAAACCCGTCATATGTCTGTTCTAACAATTGCACAAACCTATACAAACTTTTAACATACAATCCAAAGCCTTAATGAGTGATATCGCCTTAATTTCAATTTTTTTCCTCCTTTATTTCAACTCTATTAACAATTGCCTTCTGTCCAGCTCTCCTTTTCATTTGGATTTGGCGGACATATTCTGCAACTATGACGTGCAACTTGGGAGCAAGCTTACTTGTAGAAGTGACATTAAGACCCGCCTTCTTCAGAGCTCGTGTCAAATGTTTTTCAGCCATTTGAAGATGAAGAGGGCAGAGAGAAGGAACGGTGGATCTCAGTATTGGCTTCATGCAGAATATAGGTCCCGCTGGTGCACTGCTAAGTAGGCAACAATGTAATTAGGAAATATATCATTATCTCACAAGAAAAATATATCAAATTCTGAAAAAGATGGCAGCCTAAAGTTCCCATAAACAGATATTCAACATAATTGATTTTTGGGCCACCTCTAAGGACAAAATAGCAAATGCGTCACATAAAGTGCATGGGTACCAGTGTTTGATACTGGTATCAGTTTTCCAACATAATGACCTCAAATATAGAAAATGCAGCAGTGTACCATATACAAAATATCAGAACATCAAAGCAATTTTAACAGCAGTCATCAGACTAAAGGTAAAATTGCGATTAAAAATTAAAACCAATGTAATTGTCAACCAACTTAATAAAGACCGGGTACGAAACAAAGCAATCCTCCAAATCCACACCCCAAGCCCATTTTAAAGCCATGCTAGTCTACAACAGTTTTGGCAACAATCAACAGAATTATCTTTTAAGATGAAAAACAGCATCCTATTCTGTGATCCTTAGGTATCGTAACTCATGGTATATCAAATGGCTAATTGCTTTTACTCTAATATGTGACAATTACATACCCCATGCCACAATGGAAAAAAAAAAAAAAAATCCAACAAATAACTTTTAAGATTCCTTTTTTTTTTTTTTTTTTTTTTTTTTTTTTTGGGGGGGGGGGGGGTTCAATTGTGGCCAATTCAAACATTGATACATATCCAAAGAAAATACATACAAAACTACATTAGTTCTTTTTTATTATTTTAAACCCTAAACCCCGTATAAAAAATTTAGCCATGTGCAACAGCAAGCAGATAATTAACAATTGCACCAATTAGGATGCATTACAAGACGCATATTGAGTGAATATTAGGAAGAGTTAGTGACGGTTGTAAATTTGTTGTAAAGTAAATATATAAATATATTTATATATATACATTTATCCTTCTTTCTACCTTTCTTTAGTCTCTTTGTTAGATGTTTCTATCTTAAGTAAAATAGATAACATCAATGAATTTGCAACACAATTTTTGGGGCTAGTATGTCCAACCATCCCTTTCCCACCCCCAGATCAAAAAAATAAATAAAAGGAAAGGAGAAAAAAAAAAAAAAAACTATATTAAAGGGGGAAAAGGAAAAGGAAGTTCCAGCATTTGTAGAGAAGTGCGGAACTGTCATCAGGAAAAGATGATGTAATATTACATAGCAAGCCAAAAGTATGGGAATTCTAATATACCTCCTTTAATCTCTTTAATACTTCTAATATCATGGCGCAAAAGACATATTTCAACTTTTAAAATTAGGACACAAAAGACAATTACTTGGTGAACAAAAAATGCTCGGGTAGTATGTGTGGGAACACCTGTATTATGAGGACTCTAATACCATGAGAGTGGAACTTGAGGGTAGATCTGCATCCAGTCCACTGCTCTTACCATGGCAAATAAATGGGGTTATCACTAAGTAGGCTTTCATCTAGACATAAGGCAAACACAACCACACCATTCAAGCTCTTAAAATAAGGGACATTATACAGTTCTAATCCTGCTACAAAAGGATCACAAGGGAGCAAACTCGAGATAGACTCTTAATGGAATGATCCATCAAATTTAGCATCACTCATGGAACAACAAACCACTCGAACAAAAAGGTGAATCCTAATATCTTGTATGTTTTATAATCCAATATTGTAGTTTAAAGGAGATTATAGAGAATATGCACAGTTTATAGAGAAGTTTATGAAAATCAAGATTTTCTTGTGAATAACGCTTTTGAATGGATTTCACGCTCTCATTTTTATTGTAGTAAATTTCTAAACCACTATCCATAGCACTATCATTTATCATCCTCTCCAACACCCTCAACAATGCCGTCAGATTTTAGGATATGTGAACTTAGTTTGAAATGTGTCCCTGAATCGGGTATGGATGGTGGATGTGTGCAAATACATTAGATCCATAATATGTTATGCTAATGGTTTAACATATGATACACACACACACACACACACACACACACACACACGTATGCTTGATTTATATTTCAATTAAATTCAATGAGATTAAAAATGAGGAATTCCATCCATCTTAGAAGTAAGAAACCCTTCTTTGCTATTAAACATGAGTTTTTCTTATTTTTTTCATCATCACATGTATAGTATCTGAGTGTCAATTGGTACACGTGTTTGACACATATATTGTACAGATACCCATGTCCAATTAGTGAAATCAAAAGGGCAAAGAAAGGGAAAAGAGAAGATAGAGGTAGAGATTGATAGTTTATTAAACTCAAGATCCTAATAACTAAGTCAACCTATAAGAACATTTCCGAGATTTAGTGGGGAAGTGTCCAAAGAGCAGTTAAGAGATCTGGCAAGCACTTCTTGTAGTCACCATGCCTCTAACCAAACTGCTTGTGGATTAAAGATCATTTGTTGATATATATACATATATACTAAAACTCTCCACAACCCTTTTTCAAATAATCACTAAATTAGACTTATCAAAAAAAAAAATCAGTAAATTAGAAAATTGGCCCAGCAGTAAATATCTTATGAGGAACTCTTTCAGAGAAAAAAAGTTTAAGACTCTTCACATGTAACTCCCCCAACTTTTTAAAATTTTAATTTACTATCAATAGCCCAAATTTTGAAGTTCTTTTAACTTTTTAACAATAAGAGAACCCAAATTGCAAAATCGATAATGTTGATAAATATGATACCAAAAACCAAAACTCAATAAAATATTCACAAATTTGAGCTCCTTAATGTGCGATTCCGAAATCAATATATAAGAGCAATTTCAAAAACCCAATATGCCCTAAGTTTCATCTGGATGATCCTGTAATGTATAAAACCACTCACCAGAAATTTAAAAATCTAAAAAAAAGATTAAAACCCAAACCTCTTGGTAACGTAGTTGCAACCCTTGTAGAGCTTCTGCTTGGCATCGGACAATATATGCAAATGACAAAACTTGGTCAAAGCCATGGCCTTCGCCTTGCACCCATTCACCGCACACCGGCTCACATTCACCCCCAATCCCAACCCCAATTTCCCACCATTCCCATTATTGCTCCGGTTCGCGTCCTCTCTAGTACCCTGTGCACAGTTCTTCCGATCCAGATTCTCTCTCTCCTCGTCCTCTTGAAACGGACTCTTCCCGTACTCCCAGTAGTATTCTCTGTACTTGTGCTTGAGATCGTCCATTAAAGTCCAGTAATGGTCCTTGTAGACCGTCGCGAGCTGCTTCAGGCGGCGAGACCGGCGTTTCAGGACTTCTTGCCGACTGAGGAACACGGACTTCGACAAGGCCGAGTCTTCGTCCGATCCGTCGATTGCTAGCGGTGTAGAATGAGGAGAGGCGTTGTTGTTTGGCTCAGCCATGGCTGAGTCGCTAGGGAGTCGAATACCGTGAAGGTATTGTTGTGCACTGAGGGGCTTAGGGTTTTTCTCGTCCGCGTCGATGCTGGGGTTAGGGTTAGGGTTGGGGTTTCTGAGATTGTTGATTTGGGGATGGAGAGAGAGGGAGTTTTTATGGCTGTGATTGTAGGAGATTGCAGGGGACATATTGTCTGGAATTCGAAGAATGGATGAAGAAAGAGTGATAGAGTCGGTTGGGGGTCTTCTAAATTTGGAAATTAAAAAATAAAATATAAGGAGTAGCATATAGTTTTATTTATGTACTACGTTTTTATTTTACAGAAAATTTCAGTGTATGACAAATTGTACAAGAAAATCTGGTCAAGATCCTACTGCAAAGCTCATAAGTGTACACTTTATGCACTCTCTTTTCGTTGCAGACCCACTGGTGCCTATTGTGTAGGCCATTCACAGAATTGTCTACAACAGCCTACTTTTAATTCACCCCACAACTACCTAGGGTGTGCTGGAGCATACGATCAGTGTTTTTTTTGTGGACGGTAACAAACTGTGAAGCACGGACACAAAATAGGAATACAATACCACACGACACAAATATCACAGTACAACAAATTTAAAAAAAAATAAGACTCGGCACGGTAATAAAATAGTAATATTATTTTTTATTATCTATAAAAAAAACTAAACTTTTGCTCACTTTCTTTATATATTTATAATAAACCAAACACATTTAAATTACTTGAAGCACATACAGTATATATTTTTTTAGAGATTTGTAGCCTAAATTACATTAACATACTATATATATATATATATATATATATAACTAAACTTTTGCTCACTTTCTTTATATATTTATAATAAACCAAACACATTTAAATTACTTGAAGCACATACAGTATATATTTTTTTAGAGATTTGTAGCCTAAATTACATTAACATACTATATATATATATATATATATATATTCAACAAAACACTTTATTGGTTGCCAAACAGATCCTAAAGAAGCGCGTCTTCTTTGGCCTCCGTATGTCTAGGGATGGCAACGGGACGAGTTTGGAGTAGGTTTGTGTAAACCCCGTCCCCACCCCGTTGGATTTTTGATAAATCCATCCCCGCGCCCGCGACAGGTTGAATTTTCATAATCCATCCCTGCCCTGTTATGAAATATTTATCCCCATACCTACCCCGCCCGCTCCCGTTAGCTTTTTTTTTTTTGTCCAGATCATTTTCAGACTTCATGCATCGTGGGGAAAAATAAAATAAAATTCCTCTTTTGAAGGATCATTATATGGCAAATCTTTGATTTTTTTTTAAGTAATCACTTACCAAATTGCAAGATAAGGATCATTATATACCAAATAATCACTTAACCAAAATTGTAAGAATGATAAAACCTGTATATACTAAAACTTACAGTAGCAAATGACAAAATAATAAATAAACCCTTCACCCATTCTAGATTTTAGATTTGTCAATGGTGGTATATATATGTCTTATAAAAAATGATGGTGTATAAGGCAAGGCGGGGCGGATATGAATTAGAACCTAGCCCCATGACCCGTGGCGGGTACAAAAAAATGTATCCATGTCCGCCCTAACGATATAAAAGTTGTTCCTATATCCCGTTATTGACGGGGTGGAACGGGGCGATAAAAATTGCCACCCCTACGTATGTCCGCTGATAAGATGCTATCTCCATGCCTCTGCATCACGCCACTTTTATCATTCCTCTATATCTTCATCTCACTGGTTCATGACTCTCTGCTTCCTTCTTTTGGCGATCCTTTCCCATCGCTACTATTTCTTTACAGTCTTTTATCTTTTTAATTGATATATATATATAATCATACATATATGATTTCGACATATAACCACATCAACTGTTATATAGATCTTCATCGCACGTCAGTATCCCTCTTTATCTCCTTCCTCTCCGGCGTGTCCTCCGACGTGTTGCGCCGTATCCAATATATTAAAAAAAATTTAAAAATATAGGACACGCTCAAAGGGGTGTCAGACACATGTCCAGCCCTTGGACACGCATGTTCGTGTCGGACACGTGTCCGACACCGGTACGAGGACCTTCACGGCAGTGCCTTATAGGTAACAAGGCTCGTAGTTAACGACCCTAATTGCTAGGTGTAACGGGTTGATATTTCACAATCAGATTAAAAACTTAAAATATTAGATGAGGTTAACACCTAATTTATTTATATCTATTTCACTTTTATTTGGATCCAATGTAGAACAAATCTCTCCTTGTAACAAGACCGGATCCAATGTAGGACAAGTCTCTCCTTGTAACAAGGGCGAATCCAAGGGTGGGCTTATTAATTTTAGGCCAGCTAAAAAAATATATATTATTACTAGTGTTAGTGCAGGTTTTGTGGCGTCACCACGGTATTGAGGAGGCTATTTGGGAACTAGAACAGGAGGTTCATTTCAAGTATCCCGACTTGTTTACATCTCCAGGCACGGCTCGATTTTGAGGACAAAATCCTTTTAAGTTGGGGAGATTGTAATGTCCCTAATTTTTTTTCGAATTTTTTGATATTTTATTTTATTTTCCATACATCGTTTTGTGCGTCATGTGGGTCCCGATTATTTAATTGCATTTATCTCTTTATATGATCATTTGATATGTTTATATATATATACATATATATATGGATGGTTAGTGGGAAGTGATATTATGTGGTAATGGATGTAGTTGAATGGACCTTAAAGGGCATTTTTGTCATTGGAAGTGTTAAGTGGACCATAAGTTTTGACCATTGACCTGGAAGGCTTTAGAGTCAATTTTTGGCCACAAGTCTTCCTCACTCTCTCTAGGTCAACTATCTCCTCTCTTCCTTCATTCTTCTTTCTCTCTCTACATCTCTATCTTCTCTCTGCTATTTCTCTATGATGGAGTAAGATTTTATATGTTAGAAAAGTTGTAGAGCTTGGCAATGGCTACGTTTTGGCAGCGATCTTACATCCATTTGGTGGGATTTCTAGTTGGGATCTAGGCTTTGGGTTACCCCATTTGAGTAGGAAAGTCTAAATTACAGTGTCTTTGATATTTGTGAGTATTTATGTGTATATTTGTTTGAGAGTGTGATTTTGTGTTAGATGCATGTTGTTCCTTACATGCTAAATTCCTTGATGGAGTTGTTACTCTACATGAATCATGCTAAGAATGTGATGAGTTAGTTTATTGAAGTTAAAGCATGTCAAATTTGATGTTGTTGTGAGTGGATTTCTTATGAGTAATATGAGAATGATTTGATATATATCATGCATATCATGAACATTGGTTAGGTTTATGGTTGGACAGATGTGATGAAATAATTTTACAAGGTTTTGAAAAGTTGATTTGAAATTGAAAAGTTTTTAAGAAAATGTTTTGGGAAAATCGAGCGACATGGAGTTGCCATGTGGTCCGGGAGTTAGCCAACCTAGAAGGAGCACGAAGCGAAATTTTGACATGTATAATTGAGTTACCTAGGCCCAAATAATGCTAAGGAGACGCCCTAGGTCAGGGATAACTAGCCAATCCCTCCGTGACACCTAGGGTCAGATTATGTTAACATTTTCGGTGTGGGTTGTATTGTGGGGAAATTGGTTTTGGAAAATGGGGATAGTACATCTCATTACATTTAATTTCATCATTTGAAAAGCATGGAGTTCAACTGTATGTTCTATGATTGTTTCTCCCCCACATTGTATGATCCATTTCTTTTGTTATTATTTGTTTTGGGTGTGATTCACGGGTTTACAAGAGGTGTACTTTATTAAAATTTTTATTTAGTCGTTATAATCACCCTATTTTTTAACACTTCAAGACATAGCAAGGACATTGTAGATGATGCAACCCCACAAGCTTAGAAGTAGATTGATGACTGTTTTTGTTCTCTTTTGTAAATGCATTACTTGGGCATTTGACTAAATGTAAATGACCTTATTTTTTTGTCGGCTTCAAGTAAAATCGTTGTAATTGTGGCCACGGAAGCCTTGTTTTGTAATCCTACTATTTTGGACACGAATCATTCTTTTGGGATATGTATGTAATGGATTATAGAGTTTTTCGACCTTTAAATGATGTATGAAATATGAAATTTTAATGAATTTATGCAATGTGGTTGAGTTAGATGATGCTTGTGGGTTTATTTTTCATGTTGTCTTGCTTTAGGTATCATCTGTACAGGGCAAGGAGGTGATCTAATCGATTACATGGGTTTTGAGCATCATCTATCCGGTTAGATCAGATATGAGAATCATCTAATCTGTTAGATGGGTTTAGTAGAGAGCATGTTTTCTAGGTTTGCCATCTAACCGATCAGATGGGACCATCTAATTGATCAGATAGGACAGTTATATGGTCATCTGATCGGTTAGATCTTTCATCTAACTAGTTAGATGGTCTTCATTCTTTACACCCTCACTAGAATGGTCATCTAATCGGTTGGATGAACCCAGAGTTGCATATTGACCCCAAACTTCTATATAATTACCTAATTACCTCTAGACTTCATCCTAATCATTGAATGGCCTTAGTAAATGACAGTTTACCCTTTTTGGGTCTCGAACCATTATTTGACCATATTAAATGACTGTTGTACCCTTTTGAGGCCATATATTATTATTAAATGACTATTTTTCCCTTGTTATAACTTTCAACCATTAAAGTAAGTATGTAATGACTATAGTACCCTTATGTGTCATCGGGTTCAGGTAAAGACCTAGTTAGTGATTCGGACCCCCGGGTTCGGGTCGTTATAAACACACTCCCATTACTGCACACAGTGAAAGAAGTGCTAGGGACTACCATCTTTATAGTCAAGTTCTCCAAATATGTTGCCTTATATGGGTGGTTATTAGTTGTTAGAGGTGTCTCACATCGGATCCAGATGAAAAGTCAAATGAATAAATATTAAGGGTATGCAACACTACCCAATAGCTTAATTTTTTTTATTAGTGGACAGACGTTTAACTTGTTACAATTGGTTTTAGAGTCAGGCCCAGTTCTTGATTCGATGTCATGCCAAGCGCCCATCGGAAGGTGTTCGAGTCTGCAGTTGGGTAGGTTAGGTAGCCCAAACGCAATAAGGGCATTGTGAGTTCAGGTGGAAGAGAATGTAAGAGGTATCCCACATCGTATCTGGATAGAAGTGAAATGAATATATATATATATGACCAGTTCATATGTCAGCCAATGTCTTAGCCATGCCAACCAATTAATGGCTTAACCCAATCTTATGTTCCCTTATTTTGTGGTCTTGGCTAATACCCTTGCCTTAACGAAGCCCAACTTTTGCCCACATATTTATCAAGCCTTAATCCATCAAGATATGGCCCATCTTATACACCACAAGTCTATGCCCACCATCTTCGCCTTTACGAGGGTTTGGCATGCCATGAACCAAATACCCACCACCATG